AAAACATTCTTCCCGTATACCAGATTCAATATATCCTCTGTAACACGCACACCATTAACACTGCGAACGTCTCGCTTATCCATGTTGCGCAGCAGGCGTTCACAGTTGTCGGATAGGTTAAAATCGCTTTGTACCGACATCATGTCGACTTGTGCAAATAGCAAATCAACCTAAACACCAACCAATAAGTGATTCAGCTAATTAATCGATCTGGTTTACCTCAACACCCATGCACTTCAGTTTAAGTAGGGGAACGTAGGCGTGTGGGACGGCGTGTGGATCCTCTACAGAATCGTCGTCCGCTAAAAGGGCCTGAAAATCAGAGAAGAATTGCTCCCTCGTGATAAACCGAGGAGCAACTAGCAGAGCATCGATGTCTGCACCTCTGAAATTCACGCCCAACCGATATGAACCAAATGTGAATATTTTGCCGGTTGTGGAGAGTGCGATGTGCTCCGGCAGGTTCTGTTCCACAGCCTTCTTGTAAATCCAGTGGTTTGACATTTCTTGCAGTTTACTTAGGGCCTCCCGCCGCTGATGCATCTCCTCCCGACTCTCGAATACATCCATTTGTGTAAGGGCCTCTTCCAGAGCAGCTGATTGTCTCAGGTCCTCCTCAGTCGGCGGCTTCAAGCTCAGGGCCCCCGTTTCCCCCAAACTCTCTGGCGGTATATCCGAATGAGAAATTGTCTGCCACTTCTGCTCATGTCGAGAATTCAAGGCTCTAATAAAACGCAACAAATCATGACACACATATGCACGACAGAATGCCATGTAGGAATCCAAACTATCGAAATACGCTACAAGTTACTAACCGGGTACAACGAATATCGCACTTCATACTTGTGCAAATGAAGAATCAAGGTCGCGGTGGTTCTTTAAAACTGTGCGGTAATAGATGCAATGAAGAATGCTTTCTGGACAGTCTAGCACAATGTTTTGTGTTTTTTTGCACTTATTGTGCAAACTCTGCACTTTTAACTTTATCTGAAAAATTTTTCGAATTCGATAAGTCGCACGGGATTCATGTACTTGTTGTTGAATAACATGATGATGTTCACAGCTCCCCATTCTGTAATCGGATGGCATTCTTTACATCTGCTTGCCTAAAATCTGATTCTAAACTTGTGTGTTAGACAATGATTTATAATGGCTAATGAATTTCGCCTTTTAAAACGCAAGAATATATTTACTCACATTCACTTCATCATATATACAAGAAAAATGCATGACGAGCAGGCAGTAAGTCAAATGCAACCAGTGGTTTTCAGCATCCAGATTAGGAATCTGTTTGTTTTCTACAACATGCAGGCGCAATATTCGCTTTTTAACATCAGGTGTTGTTTCATAAATCCTCGTTGAAATTCTTTCGTGTAAATGGTACAAGTGTAAAATTTGCAAAAAAATCAAAAAATTAAAAAAATTGTGCTAGACAATTAAAAAAGCATTCTTCATTGCATCGATATCCGAATTGTTTTAATGAACCACCGCAACCTTGAATCTGTACTTTCACAATTATGAATTGCGATATTCGTTGTACCCGGTCAGTGACTTGTTGCGTATTTGCGTAGTTGGGATAGCTAAATGTTTTTCTGTCGCACATTTGTGTGTCATGATTTGTTGCGTTCTATTAGAGCCTTGAATTCTCGACATGAGCAGAAGTGGCAGACAATTTCTCATTCGGATATACCGCCAGAGAGTTTGGGGGAAACGGGGGCCCTGAGCTTGAAGCCGCCGACTGAGGAGGACCTGAGACAATCAGCTGCTCTGGAAGAGGCCCTTACACAAATGGATGTATTCGAGAGTCGGGAGGAGATGCATCAGCGGCGGGAGGCCCTAAGTAAACTGCAAGAAATGTCAAACCGCTGGATTTACAAGAAGGCTGTGGAACAGAGCCTGCCGGAGCACATCGCACTCTCCACAACCGGCAAAATATTTACCTTTGTGTTTCACTGGTGTCTGGCGTCCTGCATATGCCTCTAATGTAGTTGTGATAATGAACACTCACACACACACACCCTCTTTCAAAATCTAGAAATTGCAATTTGTTTTGGTGTTAGGGTGTTTTCTAAGTGCCTCTTTATTTTTACTGCACAGTTTAGACGCTAATAAAATAAACGGTATTATTAGGGATCCACGATTTTCCAAGATTACTCGTCATTGGTTTCTGGCACTATTTACCTTAATTCACTAACATGTTGATTATTACGCTTTTATAAGACCAATGTGAACCCTGACTTGAATTAGATTTTACTTTTGACAACTTACTCCGCACGTGGCTGACGTAATTAAAGCTCTCTACACGAGCTCCAGTCTTGTTCTTGCATTAGCGTAGGAAGGTCGGTGCTAGTGATGACAAGGGATCTGGTACCGTTATTTGAGTGGTTTTGTCATTGTTACGCGCATACGTTACAAATGTTGTCGACGCAGGTGAGATGAGTAACAAAGGGATGAAGTAATTACTCAAGCGGCTAGTATGAATGCTTGCAGATTGCCAGTACCCTCAGGCCGCTTCTGCCAATACGCCGTCAATTGTCGGTCTTATCAAATGTATCTCGGAGTTCTCCTATGATCCGGAGAATGGCGTAGCGTTTGAGTCCTAGTGTTGTCGTTACGAAGACCTGTTGCGAGTTGATCTCGCGTCACAGGACGACGCATAAAAGGTCAGACTCCTTACATGAAAACTAGGTCCTGCCTAACATAAGAGATACACGGATATTATCCTCCCCAAGTCCTCTCTCGACATCACTTTTGGTGAAACCGTTCGAAATCTGAAGCGGATGTTTGTAGATTGCAGCTCCTTGTTCAGTACTCGATACCAATTCCTCAAATTTGCATTAGGAGAGTTTGACGACTTCCTAGACCATCTAGCACTGGTCAATCGAGAGTGCGAGAAAAGTCACTTCAACTCAATGACTGATGACCAGTACAAAACTCCCATTATCATTTGCAGGCTTCCAATTCCTAAGTTCATAGATCTGCAAACGCAGCTGCTACACTTGAATGTCTAAAATTCTTTTATGACACTGGACAATATCAGCGATGAATACCTAAACTGAAGCAACGTGCTGCTTGACTCCAAAATTGTTCAAGCTGGTGGCCCCAGTGCTACCGAAGTCAATATGGTTAAACGAATCTATACCCACCTCCCACTTCTGGCCCTCCCAGCCGTCGTCAGCCAAAATGTGATGGAGATACAGCTGGCACGAATCGATGAAGGAAAACAAGGGACACCCATCCTTTCGCGTACTGGCACTGTGGAGCCTGGCAATATACCAAGTTCTGCACCAACAATTAGCACCGATGACAGTGATGCAAACGTTAAGGCCACTAGGACGGATTCTGCCAGTCACCTCTATTCAACAGGAGTAGCCGGCACCATTACCTCCACACAAAGGAAAGATCTAAAGACAAACAA